CTAATCTTAGAACATAATTAACTTTTACCCATTTTATTTTAGATAATATACATATTTATTTATAACATATCCAAAAATTAGATCTAAATACCAAGTACACAATTAATTAAAAAATTTTGAAACTTAGGGAGCAATCTGCCTAGTAGTAGTTTGTCTAGAGCTATCCATACTAAATCGGGTATAGATCTTCGTACACGAATCCAATGACCAAGAAATTTTAAAGGGAGTTAGTTGAAACATAGATGAACAACTTTTATTCTTTAAGTTTTACCCAGAAATTGACCTAAAATCCTTGAACATGCACCCCAAAATTCAAACAGAATTTACTCTTTATCAACACTAATTTACTAGTTCATTCCAAGCCAACTTTAAACATGTTTTAATTCACTTAAATTTAGTCCAAGTCCAATCCAACCCATCACTATATACTTGGACATTTTTCAAAACATCATAACATCATAAATCATCACAACAAGGCACCCATACATAGATTTATCCCAAGCATCAAGCATATAACCATTGAAAATCATTACAACCCATGAAATAAACACTAACAAAATAACTTAAAAAAAATAATTTAAGACATTAATCAGCTAAAAAATGAAACCTACTTACCTCTTTTAGGTTTGATTAGAATTTCCTTAGCTCTTTTTCTTTCCTTTTTCCCTTTCTCTTTCTCTTTTTTTTCTTTCTCTCTTTTGCTATTTTTCTCTCTTCAATTTGGCTTCTCTTTTAATTCTGGATGGGCTACGGTATTTGGCCTAAAAATGGCAGCCATTTAACCCTCTCTTTCCCTTATATACCCACCTTTTATCCTCTCATTTATTTATATCACAAGTGTTAAAATTTAACTAGGCCAAATGTAAAGTAGAGGAAACTTGGAAGGCAAAGCCGACATGTTTTGGAAGTCAAAGGTGATGATTTGGCTTCCAAGCATTTAATTCAAGTGCTTAGGTGGCTAAAGAAAACTTAAGCTAAATAAACACATTAATAAGCTGGATTCATGTAATTAGATACAATTTCTTTCATAAAAAATTCAGAAATTCTTTTTCTCCAAAATTTCAACGGTGTTACCTCCTAACCCATCTATATTAAAATGTGCATAACTCTTTCTATATGTATCCAAAAATTATGAAATTTTATAGAGAGCTAGTACACACATATACAAAAAAATTTATTCTTTAATTTTTTCTCAAAAATCAATCTAACAGCATCAAATAAATCTCACAAGATTCTAGCAAATTCTTCTCCTAAAATTCCAGCAGAATGCATTTCGAAACAACCCTCACCATAATGGATATAAATCTTAATGTATAGGTCCAAAAATTATACAATTTTATACAGGTATATGCAACACATAGATGAACAACTTTCATTATTTAAGGTTTACCCAAAAATCACCCTAAAGTGCTCAAATAATTCACACAAAACTCAGGCAGAATATAGTCCTTAAAACACCGATTTTGCATATTTGATTTCTTTAATAATTAAGCCATTAATCTTAAGCACAATAAATTTAATTTAACATAAATCAAATATTTCAAGCATTAATTTCTCATGATGAAATGAGAATTATACTTACTCTTAATATACATATATATAGAATTATTCTAATACACGTCGCGTTACGGATAAGGGTTTTTATGAGGGTTACACTATGAGTTTTTCATGTTCTTTTTTTTTTCTAATGGCAATGTATGTCTATGTGGCCAAGTTATGTCATAGCTAGGTTATGAGTTTTTCATGCTCATTTTTTTTTTATGGCGACTCTATGTCCATCTAACCAAATTGTATGCTAGCCGGACTATGAGCTTTCTATGCTTAATTATTTTCTTTCGATAGCAATGTCATGTCCATTTGACTGAGTTATGCTCATGTTGTAAGCTTTTCATGCTTGATTCATCTTTTTAATAGTAATATCATATCCATATGGTCAAGCTATGTGCTAGTCGGGTTAGGAATTTTTTATATTTGGTTTTTTTTTTCCTATTGGAAATGATATATCCATTTAGTCAAGTTGCATGTCGGCCAAACCATTTCATTCTCGGTTCTTCTTTCTAATGACAACTTCATGTCCATCTAACTAGATTGTGAGCTCTCATGCTTAGTTCTTCTTTCTAATAGAAAAGTCATAACCATTTGGCTAAGTCGTGAGCTTTTTCATACTTAGTTCTTCTTTCTAATGGCAATGTTATATATATCTTGCCAAAGTACATGATGACCGGATCACGAATATCTCATGTATGATTATTCTTTATTATGGCAACACCATGTTCATTTAACAAAGCAACATATTGGCCAGCCCAGACTTGACTAGATGAATATAATGTTACAATCTAAAGAAAAAACTAAGTATCCTAACTAGTGCATAACTTGACTTGGATGGACATAACATTACCATAAGAAAGAACAACTAAACATGAAAAGCTCATGACTTAGCCAACATTTAGTTTAGCTAGATGGACATAGTGTTGCGATAAAAAAGATGAAATAAACATAAAAAACTCATGGTCCAATTAACATATAGTTTGACTAGGTAGACATAATGTGATCGTTAGAAAAAATAATTGAGAACAAAATGTTCACGAACTAGCGAGCGTGTAGCATGGCCGGATGAACATAATATTATCATAAAAAAAAATGCATGAAATGCTTATGAGTGGCTAGCATGTAACTTGTTTAGATTACCATTTCATTGCCATAAGAACAAAGCACTAAGTATGATAAAGCTCAAATTCTATCTAATGTATAACTTGGCTAAAAGGTTATGTCTTTGTCATTAGAAAAAAGAATTAAGTATGAAAAGCTCACGTCTAGCCAACGTACGACTTAACCGGAAGGACATAATGTTGGCATTAGAAAGAAGAACTATGTATGAAAAGGTCATGGTTGAGCTAACTTCTAGCTTTGCCGGATAGATGTAGCGTTGTCATTAAAAAGAGAAATAAAGCATGAAAAGCTCATAGTCCCATCAATGCATAGCTTGGTCGGAAGACATGGTCTTACCATCGAATGAAAAAATTAGTATGAAAAGCTTATAATCTTACTAGCAAAATTTTTTAGCCAAATGGACATGACATTGCCATAAAAAAGAAGTATTGAACACAAAAGCCTTACGACTGGCCGGTATATAGGTTGACAAAATGGATATGGTGTTGTAATAAAAAAAAGTATGAAATGCTTGTACTAGCTCAAAGAATTCATCACAAGATGTGCATAAAATAATATATATATATATTATAAGCAGTAAAAAAAGAAAAAGAAAATCAATTTCATAATTGCAAGTTAAGTGCTCAAGAAAAGTTTCATCCCTCTTAATTATCATGTGACGAGTTCATCGTAGACATATTAGTATTTTATACTTTCGAGTGAATGTAGGTATTCAAAAAAAATAATAATAATAAAAATAAAAATCGAACACCAAAATTGTATTTTTTTTTTTTTTTTGTTAATATCTGCTAGCCAGACATTAAGTTTGATTTTCTATTTCTCATATCTATAAAAACTAGCTACTAATCATATTTATGGAAAAAAGATTTTTTAAAAAAAAGTAGGGCACATTGTTTAAGCTATTTTGTAGATATATGGTTATTATTTATTATTCACTAAAATTTTAAGAACCTATGAACCATGGCAATCTTTTGAGGATTTCAAATTTTATTTAAAACATTAAAAACAAAATTCGAAAATGTTGAGCCAATAATTTTTTGGGGAATAAAAAAATAAATTAAACTTTTGGATATGTTTATAAACATATAACGAGAAATTTTTTGAAGCACTAGGAGAAAAAAATTCAAAAATTTTTATCCATTAAAACCTTTGCAAATATTTCAAAAAATAAATAATAACAATTTCGAAAAAACGAAATTGCTCAACAAGTAAATTGTTTAAAATTTTATTTCTTGAAAAATAAAGTTTCTTCTTTTTTAAAAATTTTCATAAAAATTAAATGACGTTCATATTACAATTTAATGTAATTTAGGAATTGGATTTTGATTAAAATTGCAAATATAGAGTACCAGTTTACCTTAATAGGAGCTTATTTGTCGAATTGAGACAAATACAGGGGTGAGTTTGGGTTTTTATTCCAAAATTATGTACTCTTCTCCGCCTAGTCCCCTCTCTCTTAACTCTTTCTTCGTTTCTTCTCCTGCTTGTATTCCGTTTCTATTCTCTTCTTCAAACTCTCTCTCTCTTTAATATATATATATATATATATATATATCAAATCTGCTTTGAGAACCATTGAATTTCATTTTAATAGCAACAGAGAGTAATTTAATCAAATCAGCCAACAATTCCTTTTTCCTTGGCCCGCCCCAATCTCATTTCCAAGGTTAGTACTTCATTTGTCTCGCTGTCGCTTGAACAGATTCCTTCAAGTATTTCAATTTTCTGTTTCGTTTCTGAGAAAAATAAACTTGAAATTTATTTGAAGCGGCCAAAACCCACTTGTTAATTTGTGCTGGGGTTTAGGTTTTTTTTTTTTGTATGAATAAGTTTTCTTTCTTTTCTTTGCAGAGAAATTCAATTAATCCTTATTGATAGCTTGCACTTGTAATCTTGTAGCATTTTTAATACATGCCTGCCTCTAGACCTAGTAGAGATGTATATATGATTTTAGGGTGGGGTGTTGTATGTAGAATTGCAATGGAGAAAATTACCCAAACACGATGTGTTTTGTGGGTTCTATGTTCTTTGCTTGAAAACTTAAACAATTGAAAAGGCACAATAATAGCATAATATTCAATTTTTTCTTAAGCCTATAGTCAGTCTTTAAGTTTTCAGCAGGTATTCTGCATTATAGCGATTTAGGGTCTAACTTGATTATCTCTTTTAGTAAGCTGATATAGTTGATACATGGTTTTAACTTTTCGATTGTTTCGTTGATTTGGTATAAGGCATATCCTGCTAGGCAACGAGGATGTGGGTTGCGTTTGTTCCATCTTTGGAGGTGTCTAATGTTGACTTGTAATACATGTTACAGACAAGCAGTGAGTATGGCTGAGGGAGAAGAAGATATGCCAAGGGATGCCAAGATTGTGAAATCATTGCTTAAATCAATGGGTGTTGAGGATTATGAACCTTGTGTTGTACATCAGTTTTTGGAGTTGTGGTATCGTTATGTCGTTGATGTGTTGACAGATGCACAGGTTTATTCAGAGCATGCTGGCAAAACTGCAATTGACTGTGATGATGTCAAGCTTGCTATTCAATCTAAAGTCAATTTCAGCTTCTCGCAACCCCCGCCAAGAGAGGTAATTGGCTATCTGTAGGATGATAAACCTCCTCTTCCTTGTTTTTTCACTCCAATACTATGAGATGAAAATTCCAGCCAATCATTATTCTAGAGTTTTCTTGACCATTGAGCTTTAAATGATAGAACTTGCATAGACTCCCATCCTTTTGCTTTATCTCCTACTACCTGATTGTCAGTTTTACTTTGAAATAATGTTATGCTTGGTCGAAAGGGAGCAAGTCTTGATATTGGTAAACTATCTTCATTTTTCCTTGTATACAATATGATTCTTTTAACACATTTTAGCTCTGGATGACAAAATCTTTTCTTTGATCAGTTACTATATACATTTGATTTTCTTCCTCTCTTATAGAGGTTCAAGAAATGATGCCTAATATCAAAAAATTATGATGATTTCTAACATATTAAAGTTAGCATTCTTCAGGTTTTACTAGAGTTAGCCAGAAATAGGAACAAAATCCCATTGCCTAAGTCGATAGCTGGGCTTGGCATCTCCCTCCCACCTGAGCAAGACACGTTGATCAGTCCAAACTATCAGCTTGCTATCCCAAAGAAGCGACCTGCCCAGGCAGTAGAAGAAACAGAGGAGGATGAAGAAAGTGCTGATCCCAACCCATCACAAGAACAGAAGACGGATCCTCCGCCTCTTACTCCGCAAAGAGTATCATTTCCCCTCAACAAACGCCCTAAGTGAGAATCATATATTCTGTCAATTTAGGATTTCAATACATTATGTTGACCTAAGAAGAATGGGCCCGTGCGAGAAGGCGTTGAGGAGGAAGAAGTATGAGTCCAGAGGAAAGGAGGTGAAATGCAAAGAAAATTCGAATTTTTATGTGAATGCTATGCGTATTGGATCATTGTGATCTTTATGAAAATTCAGCTGCCAGGCAGTGTCTTTTCTGATTTCAGTTTCTTATTAACTATAGGTTCTAACTCATGTCTTCCGTTAGTCGTTTAAGTAGTTTGAACTTTGAATTCCTTTAAATCACTAAGGAATCCGCCCTGCCTCCCAAAAAAAAAAGGCTCGAATCTGACAAAGCTCAAAGCAGTGTGTTAAAGGCATTTAGCAGTGGTTAACTAAAATACGAAAAATTATCTGGTAAGCCCAGCTCCCAAGTCGCAAATTAGTCCGTCCAAAAGCTTAACATGAAACTTGTAAATGTAGAATAATTAACCTAGGAGTCTCGGGCAATCAGTTCTCACAGGACAGCGCCATAAAAATGCGTAGCTGATGCCAACTTTTCTTTAGGCATGACAGATTCCACAATAAGTACTTTGATGATCTAATACTAACCCCAACTGAAAGTGATGGATATCACACAAGGGCAATAGGAGGGCGAAGGCTACCACAATGCGTTGGCGGTCTGCGTATCAGGTACTTCTACATGAACCATCAACAAACTGAATCCAAATAACAAAACCAAAACTAGAGTGGACATAGTAAGTTATTCGATACTGATCACAATTCATTGTGGGAACTTGGAAAATCAATCTTTGTTGAACGTTTGAATCCAGTTAGTCATGGTCTCTTCATGCCAGAACCATATACTGTTCTGTACAAACATATGTATGTACAAGAATAACCAATTGTCACTAAATGGAATGCTATTTATCAGATGTCTATTAATGGGTCAACTTCTCCATCCAACCGTGCCACTTACAGCAGAAGCATGGCTACCAGAGGCAGTAGCTGACCCACGTTCATACATGCGCTGAATCTCTTCCCTGTAATCGGACAAAGATTTGTCAGGAATAGCCGGAGTTAGCTCCACAACATCCCCCATCTTTAGCTTGCAAGCCACATCACACACTGGCCGATGGTTCAGCCTTGGCCGCAATTCTTCCTTCACAGGGAACCCATATGGGGATGATCTTGAGCTCACACGTCCAGCCCTCTCCAGCAGATCCATCACTGTTGAGTTTGAAGAAAACTCTTGCACTGACATCTGCAATATTCACAAATCATGAATATTCAATAAAGGACTATGACAACAGTTTACTTTTCTTTGTTCACTCATTTTGACTGGAGATGCGGTAACCCCTAAAAAAAAAAAAATCCCAATACACCACTCTTTTTCTCCCTTGCACTAAAATGGCATGAACTGGATGAGATAATCTAATTCCAAACATCAAAGACGTTGACTTAAAAAAGCATATAAAGTGGCTTTATATCTACACTCACTATAAGCACTGCAGCAAGGCCAGTGTGATATGGACAGGAATAAGACCTCTAATTACCTATTCTGCACCAAGCTTCTTCTCATTACATTATTCATACATGGAAGGAACCTAACCTTATCATTCTCAATCATAATGACAAAGACAGGTCCATCTTGGCCACAGTGAGGCTTGTATGAATATGGGCAACCATCAGAATGTGAAGGGAATGTGCACGGAGGCTTTATCCAATCACCACAGCCAACAGAAGATCGGTCTTTGCTCATTGTCTCGCACTGCCAGGTTATGACCCATCTTGCCCACTCAACCATTTGAAGCACAAATGAGGAGTGCTTGCTATCACCTTCCTTGTATCTCCAATGAGCTGCAAATCCAAACTCTGCTTGCAAATGCATATCCCTTGTTCGAATTTGAACTTCAAGGGGCACAGTGCCTTCACCCATCACTACTGTATGAAGAGATCGATACCTGCAAATTAAAATCAAAGTTAGAAAAGCGGAATCAAAGTTACAAAAGAATAACGTATTCAATAGCAAACACCAATAACAAGCCAAAACATACCCGTTGAACTTGGGATTATTTATGTAGTCCTTGAACTTTCCAGGTACTTCAGACCATAAACGCTGAACAACTCTCAATGCTCTATAACAGTCTTCCTTATTTTCGACAATCAGACGTAGCCCATGAATATCATGGATCTGATCCATGTTCAGCTTTTTCCTGCACAAAATTTAAACTCTGTTGTTAAAAAACACAGACTGATAATTGCACAAAAGCTCAGAAGTTGATTTCATTGTTCATTGCCTTTCCACCTTAAGAATTTGAGGGGCACGACCATATATTGTGGTTAAATTATTGCTTTAATCTAACCATCTTACCTTTTCGTGCTTCAGAGAACCTAGAATTGGAGTAAGAGCTATAGCCTTAGTAATCAAAGTGATGACCAACTGAATGAACACGATTTGGCAGTGTGTGTGTGTGTGTGTGTGTGTGTGTGTGTGTGAGAGAGAGAGAGAGAGAGAGAGAGAGCATACTTCAACATTTTGCAATAAATGCTATACAAGCTTTTATGCCTTCCAGATAGATGGTAAGCAATGGCTTCATTCGTAAGAGCTTTCTCTAATTTCTCTTTAGCAGAAGCAATCATTGCCTCATCAAAAGAATCCACAAGTCTAGTAGACAAATCTTTGTGCTGATCTGGGTTGAGATGCTTAAAAGAAAGATTTTCAAGCTGCTCTTTCCAAGTGGAGATTCCCAGACGATTGGCCAAGGGAGCAAATATCTCCAAAGTCTCCATAGCAAATCTCTGTTGCTTGACCCAAGGCAATGCATCTAGTGTCATCATATTATGCAATCGATCTGCTAATTTAATCAGGACAGCCCTGGCATCTTCCATGGCAAGGAACATGGTGTGCAAGCGATCTGCCTCGACAGTTTTGCTCGCTGTATTGTTCTCACGAGCAAGCTTGCTCAATTGGCTAAGCTTAGAGACCTAAGTGAACGTAACAGAGAACTAGATCAGAAGTTTGTAAATATTGGATCAATATAAATGTATGAACTACATCAACCAAAGGAAACTCCTTATAACTTTCTAAGATTCATCTTTCATGTGATGAACCTTAAAAATGTAAGTTAAAAATGTATTCCAAATTTCGCCCAATCTTTGCTGCTGTCAGATGCTCCTGACTTTTAGATATAACCATTCTTTCAAAAAAAAAAAAGCTACTGCAGATCAAGTTCCAGTTTCTACATTTGGCCTAGGACCATATTCGCCATAAACAATAAGCAGTAACTACATCATCCTAAAACAGATAATGGAGTTCCAGACAAAGTAACTAGCATGTCGAACAAACACTTCTTTTCTTAGTCCAGTCCAGCTTCCATTTTGTAACGAAAGATGCATGAAAATCAACATAACATATTTGCTAGACAATAGATACTAAAAAAAAAAAGACTCATTAAAGAACATGAAAACTTCTGCCTCTTACCCCTTCTACCAAATCAGCCACCCCTGCTCCAAATGTTTTAAATATGTAGTCATAGCTTAGGAAAGAATCATCCAAAGTGTCATGTAAAAGCCCTGCAGCAACCACTGTGGAATTAGCACCAATGATAGCAAGCAGAACTGCAGTCTCTACACAATGCTGCAAATAAGGATCTCCACTGGCTCGCATCTATAAGAAAACAACATAATTATAAAAAAAAATTAAAAATTAATAAATAGAAAAAAACTACTCAAACAACAAAAGCAATAAAATTCCAACTTCACCTGTCCCCTATGTGCTTTCTCAGCCTCATAAAAAGCCTTGATCACAAAATCGTCAGAAAAAATTTTATGCCTTAACTGTGCGCCCAACAACAATTCCTTAGCATAAGGCTCATAATTAGCCTCCACACAACTATCCTCCATGCTAAAAGTCAATTCATCCACAGCAACAGAAGATGAACCCACATCAATACCATTACTGTGAACTTCAAAACCCGTAGAATCATAATCAACACAAGACCCTAATGCATTCCGCACAAACCCATTAAAGAGCCCATTAGCCCCACCACGAAATGAGCCATGAATTGAACTCTGAAAACTCACATCACAACCGCTCCTTTCTCTAGCAATCCTCATAGGAGGACTACTAGAACAAGAAACTTGACCTTGCAAAACCGAAACTGGACTTTGATCCCTCTTTATAGAAGATCCAGCAAGGTATTTACTTGGTGTATAACAAAATGAACTACTCAATTCCTTCAATTCGTCTCCTCTATCATGCCATAGAGACCCCAATTCCTCTCTATCACCCGAAAATGATGCATGTTTCACTGCTGGGGATGAAAACAAACGCGATAAACCACCAACAATTGGTTTCTGAGAGGAAGATGTACTAGATGAAGCTGTTGATGAAGATCTCGGATTCAATTCAAACTCGTAAGTTGCGTGCGCGTTGATTTGGCATGAATATGGTGTTGAACACACACTACTAGGTGGGCTCGTGTATAAAGCTATTGTTGGGACTGCCATGAAAGTATTAAGACCAGATTTTTCTCAAAAAACAACCCAGAAGCCCAGATCAAGTAAAAAATTTTGCTTTCTCAAATGTTAACAAAGACCCACTATTTTTCTCTAAAAATCCACAAATTTTATAAGGATTTTATGAAGATTCATTGAATTTTTTAAAATACCCAATTAGATCAGGATGGATTAAAAACCCCAAATGGAGTCCAGCTAGGATTGGCTATAAATAAAATAAGTATACAAAAAATCTAAATTCAAGTGGGTTTTCTTTTGCTGTTGAGGAGGAGGAGGAGGAGGAGGAGGAGAAATAAAGCTACAAATATTGTGTACCGACGATTTATAGTTGATTTTTTTGACTTTTAAAGGAACGACACAGAAGGACATGAAATTAATAGAGAGAATTTACAGAAATTTTAAGAAAAATAGAGAGTCGAAAGAAAGTTAGGATTTGTACAGGGAGAGAAAGAGAGAGATCTTCTTTTTCTTTTATTGTGTGCGAAAATCTAACTCCCTCTCTCTCTTTCTCTCACCTCTGGCCTTCATTTGTACAGCAGCCAAGAGAAGGAACAATGGAAGTACGGAAATGTCCTCGGTAACTAACTGAATTAACGGTATTGGTTTTTTGGTTTTTCTTTTTGTTTGATTACCAAAGAAATGGATGTCCTTGTTAATAAATAAATGAAATCCTCACACGTGTAAAAACAAGACTGGATGATAACTATTAGGTAGGTTTTACGAGCGGAGGCCTGATAGATCGAAACTACCAGATAATTTCTCATATGTTTTGGTTGGTGAGATTGTTTCAATTTAAAGTAATTTTTTCTAGGTTTTTGTAAGTTATTTTCTTGTGTAATTAATGAACAATTGAATATATTTTATTATGATAAATTTACGAAACTTCTACAATCCTAACTTGAAATATTAAAGAATGACTAATTTTGGACATGACACCTTTTTATGCGTAAAGGACGACTATATTTAGTGAGTATAAAAATAAAAATATTTAACAGTACATATTACTATAATACAATGAATATTTTCTTTTTTACAAAGATAATAGTTACAGTTGCAATAAAAAAAAAACAACAAAAGCTGTAATTCTTTTTTCCATGAAGAACGAGTATATTAACTTGTTAGTATTTTTTTCACCTTACGAAAAAATATGCAAATTGGAAATCTTCTGGAAGAATAAAGACATTAATTAATATAACTAAAATTACAATTCAGTGGCAACTTGAAAACTATTACTATGTTAATTATTATACATGCTCCCGTGGTCATTGAGCTATTGTGATGGTATTATTATTATAGTAATGAAACCACACCAATTATTTTTATTTTATTTTACTAACAATAACTTATGATATGAACTCAGAGTATTAAGAGAGTTATCATCTTGAGGTTAAAATATACTGAAAAACAGATTATAAATTTGTTAACCGATATCGTGTCCAAATCAACAAAGACTAAAGTACGATGTTAGGCTCAAAAGTCGTAGGTGATTACGTTAAATAATTGGAGCTAGGTTTTGTTGTATTTTATAGCTAATTCCAATACAGTACCAATCATTAATGTTATTTTATGTTACCCTTATCCCCTAGACTCTTTTTTTTCTGTGTCTAAATCACGTACGTTTGTAATTATTGTTTAATCCGTTGTTGAAATGGCAATGGTATGGGAAAGGCTCCATTGTTCTATTGTTTTCCCATTAGGAAGATTGTCTCCTTTAATCATTTTAAAAAAGAAGGAGAAGGAGGAAGTTTGTCTCCTTTATGTGCTCATGAATACGATGGAAGGGGTAGATCAAGTGGAGAAGGTGGGGTTATTCATGTTGATATTTAGCTTTATCCTATCCTTGACAGTTGACACGGTGTGCAAGAATCACTTCGAGGATGACGAATCCATTGAATCTGTATTATAAAAAGATTTAGGATTTTCTAATGTGTGAAGTTTACTTGTACGCCCACCAGAAAACCCAAATATTTGATTCCTTAGCACTAACAATTATTTGGGTTTGGCTTATATAAATAACAATAACAGAGAAGATTCGTATATAAATATCCATCTTTTATAATCAAGTCCATACACAAGTGCAGCATTTCTCCCATTTACAAAGGAGTCAAGTTTTAAAGTTTTGATTTTATTCTGTACAAAGAAAAGACAAGTGTGATTTTATCCTTCTTTTATCTCGATGTTAGGAATAATGTTAATTATCCATACACAGCTTTCCGGCAAATTATAGGCCAATGAAGAAGTTCTTTCTCTGGTCCTTCTCCAATAAATTTCATAGAGTGGGAAAATCAAATTGTTTAATTATTTACTAAACAATTGTGCAAGAAAAAAAGTCACATTTTTTAATTTTTTTAAATCAAATTGTTAATTATTTTGATATTTATTCCACAATTAGTAAGTTTTATATGATTAAAGAATGTCAAGCACAAAAAAAAAAAAAAAAAACTAAGAAATTAAATAATAAATAGAAGAATTTAGTATGGATATAATGTTGGAGGTTTTTTTTAATTATTATTCTTCAAAATATCCTAGATCCAAAAACTCAGATTAATCTTTCGTTTTTTAATCGGAAGCATAAGATGGACACTATAAATTTATTTTTTTAAAATAACTTCTATATATGTTTAGCATTGCTACATCTTCCCTTTTTTTGTATGTGTGTGTGTGTTTATTGATTTTTTATTGAGATAATTAATTATCTCATAAGAGATTTTATTTTTTATTTTTTATGTTTTTAATTTATTAAAAAATTGACCCTTATTGTGCTGAAATTTTGACTTTATCTTCGAATGTAAGTTATATTAGGTTACGGGTGTTCTTTCGGTTTTTCGGTTCGGTTTTGAAATATTTTGATCGATTTTCAATTAACTGAATTTTCAAAAAAGAAAACCAAACCGAAATGTCGTTCGGTATTTCGATTAAAAAATTAAAATTTCGGTTTTAATTTTTGGTTATTCAATTTTTACCCTTTTTTTGGAAAATCTAGAAAAAAAATGTCACGTTGAACTATTAATGTTTGATACAAAAATCTCATGTTTTGTTGTGATCCTAAACTTTTTGCTCAAATAGCTATGGTCCTATGGTTGGAGATTTGGTATTTAAATATATTTGCAAAATCAAGTTTGGAATATAAAATACCGACGTTAAATTTTCATGCATTTCTCGGTTGTTTCTTTGTAATTGAGATGAAATTAAATAAATATTGAATTTATGTAGACGATCTTATTTAAACATTTATGTAGATGAATTGCAACACTTTGATGCTACTACATAATTACTTAGAGGGAGGAGGAGGAGGAGATGACTATTCTCTCTTCAAATATATATATATATATAGTAAAAAAAAATTAATTCAGTCTTTTAGTTTTCAACGAACTTAAAAAATAAAAAAACCAAACTAAATCTGAAAATCAAAATAACTTTAGTTCAATTTTTATTTTCTGAATTTCATGAAAAAATTAAATCGAAATTGATATTTCGATTTAGCTTGATTTTTCAGTTAAGATCAAATAATGAACACACTTGTATTAGGTTAGAGATTATAGTATGACATGTAATTTGAGTGTGGTCTTGTGATTGCAAAATCAAATGCAGTAATGCATGGAATTAAGATATTTAGTTTAAAAAAACAAAGATGCAAACTCATACGATACCTAAAAAAAAAAAACTTTTATTTGAAATCTTTTTCACATGTTGCGTGTATATATTATCAAGGGGCACTATTGAGAAATGCTATGGGGTTTCGAGAGACTACATGCCCTCCTCTACCTTTCTTACAAGAGAGCCTCTCTAGGGTTTGAGAGTCCAAGATAAGGACCGCCTCTCACCATTCCTTGATTCTTTCATTGTCTTTTTATGTCAAGTTCAGTTTCCGCGAAGGCTGTGACCAGCACGTGGCGTGTCACCACCCGTCTCCTTAGACACGTGGTCAACCCCTCCCGCGCACAAGTGTCCTAATGACGGCTATTAGGTGCGGCCTTGGTTTCGGTACGGCCACTGACCGTCACACTCGCTGCACGTGCTAATCGCCAGCTCCGCGGTTTTAGCACTCGTGAATGGGAACAGCATGAATCTGGTCCGCTGATTTCACCAAATCTTGATGTCCGACCTCATTGAAGTCAGAGTATTGAATGGTTCTTATTTGCATGCTGATTTTGGTTGGTGGACTTGTTGGCGGTGGACTGTGACAGTGACGTGGAAGATTAAGGGTCCGAAACTGAAATGGTTAAAATGGAGACCACCTCACTTGAATCTTCTCTCTTTTTATAGAGGATGGGCGTTGAAATCATTTCACATTCTTTTATCGTATTTTGTTAGATCAGTCAATGCTAATAAAAGGCTTGGGCAATTTAGGCAAAAAATTGGTAACAAAAAATCAAAGAGTACCATTCAAAATTTAAGGATGCCCTTCAGATAAACTGGCCACTGCACATTAAATACATAACATCTTAAAGATAGTTTAATTAATTAGAAGTTTCAAATTTAGCGTCGAGAATTTGTTTTTTACTCAGAAATGAAGCTCTTTGCAAGGTGCCGTGTAAGAATACGTAACAAAAAAAAATAAAAATAAAAATGACAATAAAGTTAATTTCTTATCATAATGAATAACTAGTTCTTCTATGGCCTTTAAAAATTATGGCGTTAGAGCATTTAATAATAGAACTCCTAATAATTTTATTTAAGAAGGTTTTATGAGTATTAAACTTAAGTGATTATTTATTATCGGTCCTAACCTGAACATCACTTGTATATATGAGATGGATGGTTCATCCACGCATAATGGAAGATTCAAATCCATTAACTTCAATATAAATATAATAGTTTTCTTCAAACTAACAAAACTATAATTAAAAACAATAGAAGAAGCTGTAATAACCAAAAAAATAATTTAATGTTACGAAAGAACTTTAATGCTATAAGAACATATTTATCTAAATTAACCGAGTGGCAATTTAATAGTAAATTCTAACCTTAAATTATGTGAGTAGAAGTTG